CAGCTGCTGCAATTACAAATGGAAAAGGCTAATATGATTCTTCGCTTCCAGGGCATGCCAGAGAATAAGGGAGAGAATCTTAAAGAAGTGATGAGTGAATTACTAGCCCCAGTGACAGAGATGAAGGTGGAATCATTGCTAAGCAATATGGATGTGGTCTATAGATCATATTCAGGCTATATAAAGAAAAATAATCTGCCTGGGGAAATTGTCGTAAGATTCTCGAAGAGGCATGTGAGGGATGCAATCCTGAAAGCAGTTTCTGGAATATCCCTGAAAGTGGGAGAGAATGCCATCAGAGTTTTAAAAGACAAGTACAAAGATCTCGTGCTTTTTCTGCAGACAAATTGAATTGGATATAAATGGCTAATTCCAGAAGGCGTCACCTTCAAAATTAAGGATAAAAAAGAAAAGATTGACTCTGTTCTGAAAGCTCGGGAATTTCTAAGGGTCCAGTTGAGAAGGCCAGAGGATCAAAAAAAGAGAGAAGAGGACAGCAAGTCTAGTGGCGAGCTGGACTCGGGTTCTTCCGGAGAGGACTCTCTGGCAGAGCAAGGGGCAGGAGCCCCAAAAAGTCCTTACAAGCTGCAGAAGAGACGGGGAAAGGAGACGTGAAGGCTGAAGGACTCTGATTTGTGCCTTTGAGAACTTTGAAAGGGGATGATTGTGGGTACTGTTCTTAGACAGTTAAGTTTTAAGATTTAAAGAAAAGAGTAAAAAAGTATAAACGTTTGACTCAGGTTATAATGACATAAAAGAAGGGAAGACTTGATGTAATTAAGCTATTGATGATCTCCTCTCTTGGGTTTTTAGGCAGAAGTGGGTTTCTTTGCTTTATCCTGTATATGTAGTCCCCCTCCCTTTTTTTCTGTATTAGTTTTGTAGTGTTATAAAAAATAATAAAAAATCCCCTCCGGGGGCTCAAAAAAAATGGGGCTAGAGGCAAACCAGGGGCATTACTCTACAAACACTAAGGAAGTTCCAGGGTTGCAGAAATATCTGAAATCCTCTCTCAATATTTAAGGGGAGTAAAACCCCCAAAATAAAAGAAACAATACCTGCAGCTTTAAGAAAGGAATGCCCACTGAACTCTCAGTGCCAGTTGAGGGGTTGCTAGGCTACCATAACCACACTGCCAAGCCTTTCAGGCCTTGCTTTCTGAAAAGCAAAGCTAGAGGGGCAGGTGTGGACTGGGAGGTTGAACTAGTCCTGTAGAAGTTCCTGCCCTCCTCCACTATCATGTCCCTTATGGAGAAGGACTCACTGGAGACTGGCCCGGCAGTGACAAATGGAAACCAACTACATCCACAGCTTGTCCTGGCCCGGCAGTGCAGCCACCACACAACCCAGACTAGGCCTGTCCACCATGCTACACAGTCAGACTTTTCTCAGGGAGAGGCTGCCAGGGGTAGGGAAGGAGTGAAAGCTGAAGACAGAAGAAGGGGCAAAGAAAGGTTTTCTCAAAGGAGAGAAGGAGGCAGGCTCAGTGGCAGTGGCAGCCATGCCACTGGGCCTGGCCCAACACTAGGAACAGTCACTGCACAACTGTGCCTGGCCTGTGGCTGTTGGCCACCACACAACTCAGCCAGGGGAGAGGCTGCTGGGGGAGCGAAGGAGGGAAAACTGAAGACAAGAGCAGATAAAACGTAAGTTGGCTGGAGGGTGGGAAGGAGAGAAGGAAGCAGGAAAAGAGGAGAGGCTATGGGAGCTTTCAGAGAAGGGAAAGAAGAAACTGGGGAAGGGCAAGTGAGATGCCCTCCCACCCCCACAAGTCCTTGCAGGTCTGCCTGTTTAACTGATATTACATTGACATCAGTCATCTAATAACTAAACTTCATAGTAAGATATAGTTGAGATTTTTATGGAAGAACAATATTTCCTTCCCCCTACATGTCTTAAGAATCTATGCCAACATTGCCATCTTTTGTTATTTATTTTATGATGAATGATAAAGTAGGAGATTTGGTTCATGGATTTACCTGCCATGCAAGAACCCAGAAGATGTGTTGGGATATTTGTATGTATTCCTGGCACAACTACAATGGCTAGTAGAATGGCACTTGGAAAGGCTTTCAGACACCTTCATCTCTCCAGATAAAAGGAGCCTCTTTGTTCAGAAGCTGCGTATCCTGCCAGCAGCCAATGTAGCTAAGAAACGACCAAGAGGTTTTAGCTCCCCAAAAGCACCTAGTTGGCAACCGAATGCTGGAACGTTTGGTCTGATTCGACCTCTTCTTGGGTTCTTCGGAGCTGTTCGGTTTAGCATCTTTGAAAAGACAGAAAGGAGGGCTGTCAATCTCTCCAGTCCCTTCAAGCGAATCAGAGGGGGCACCTGGGGGCGAGCCGGGTTTCAGACACTAATAGCTACATCTGCAAATGGATCAGCTGGGGGCTCCTCCCCCTCCCTAATGCTAGAGCTCTCTCGCCACCTCTCCCCCCCCC